CCTACACGAGGGTTTACACCTACTTACATCTGCTATTCAACAGCTCATCACCACTTAGCTCACATCATCAGCCTTCAAGTATTTGTCCACCTTTCCCATCATCTCCCTACAACCACTACCATTCCCTCCAAACAAGGGGCAGTTTCTTGTCAGTATTCTACTAGAGAAAACTTAGCAAGAGACAGATTTTTTCCTTCTTGACTGAGAATCAGCAACTTGAAGATTTACAATTGATCTACAAACATTTTACATAACTCATTTTGCAAAGACTAGGCAGTATGCCTTAAAATGCTAACCATAACCCAAGGTCATAAACAGCTAACTGATCATCTTTGGTGCTTGGGTTTTATTGAGAATTAGAATGAGGTTGTTCTAAGAACAGACTGCCAGATTAAGACACACCTTCTTCTTTACTACTGTTTGTAATCCTTGTTCAGGGAACAATCAAAGGCTATCCAAAACCAGAATAAAACTATGAAACTTCAAATGGATATCTCCTGGTTTGCACCTAAATGCCCCCTCCCCCTTATTTGGTAACATAAATGTGTTATGAAAACTTCATCAATGCTACAGGGGAACTACAAATCTTCTATTTACTTGTTCATAATTTTCAGATTATTTAATGCCTGCACAGCATTGTATTAGTCTGTAATGGCACAAAGCCTCCTCAATATAAGCACAGTTTCTTGTCTATTAATCACAAAACACTACAGCTCAGTATTTATTTCTAAAGCTTAAAACCATACCCACAAATTAATCCACCTGATATCCTCTGAAACTAATACACACCCCTCAAAATAATCAAAGAACCCTGCCAGGAAGAAAGCTCACTTCATGCTTACCTTTGTTTTTTTAATTCCTCCCAATGAATGGGAATTCTGTAGCAAATGCACTGTTACACTCCCCTCTACTCACTGTTTTCCTTGTTTAAATTCTCTGATTTTGGTTGAGCCAGTCCACACACTTGACACTTTTTCCTGGTCCATTCAGACTTCCAGATTCTCTTTTCAGTTGAGTGTGTCCTTTCATCCACACGCCACCGCTTCCTGGCATCTCATCATAACTTTAAGGCATAGGCCCTTACAGCTGAGAAAATACATTTCTCTTTAATTTCCGCAAAGTCAAAGAAATTGTAAGTGATTTGTAACCAAGATATTAGAAGGAAACTTTTCTGAGGAACCATTTTTTCTCAAAGAACACAACTGTTTTAACAAATATTTTCAGTTTAGGGAAATGAGGTTATCTTTCTTGTTCTCTGGTAAAATCATTAGCCAGAAAATTTTCTGATCAGATCAACCATGCAATTCTGTTAATATAAGATGGGAATAAGTAGGCAAGCTGGAGGAGAAGGGCTGTTCTTTCCACAGCAGTGCTAGCCTTCACTGGTTTGAAGTGCTCAGTTACAGCCACACGCTTTTAAACACACAGTATGAGACACTGCAAGAGACAGGCTACAAGCCTGGACCAACAATTGACCCGGTTCAATAGGACGATTTGTTTTGTTACGTAAAACAAAGCTCTGACAGAGGAAAAATATGCTTTCAGCACAGAATTGCATAAATGCCTACTACACAGTCTGTTTATATCCATGGGCAATATTTTGGTTCTGCTTAGGTCAATAAAGGCTTTCCTATTCCCTGCAGCTAGAACTTGTCACAAATTTATCTGGCTCCAAGAAAATTATTGTGTAAAAACTGCATAGTTAGTACTGACGACAGTAAGAGAACTGTCTTTAGGAGTCTGGTCTATATTGACTCAAACTCTAGCCACATATATCTGTACTGAAGCATTTACTTGTCTCTTACCAAGAAACTGGAAGTTTTTTACCCCTCTCTCACCTTGTTCTGCAAAGCCTTTTAAACCATATCTCTCAGGATTATAGTAACAACTGGCACCTGCAACAGGACTGGAATGTAATTTAAATATTACATATAAGCTTATTTGAATCTTCAAACAAAGAGACTGAAAGAATGAAGTTTATAGTAGATGGTCCCCATGCAAAACAGCACCCACAATGCCAAAGAAGAATTTGCATGAAAAGTGAATACAATACTGCAACAGTTACTCACTGACATAACATTTTCTAAAACAACAGATAAAACAGATATGATGAAACAAAAACATTAAATACTCTGAAGTTTTTGTTAAATACTTCTTAAAATCTGTGATTGAAATTAGCAGTGCAAATACATAAAAAGCTTAAAATTAACTGTTTTGCAGATACAGAGTCTGTCAAAATACATCATTCTCATCAGTTAGGTAAACTTTACACCACCCAAGGAAAACTATGATAGTAAACCACCATTTGACCCTGTTCTCCATGGCAGAAAACTTTTAGTAAAAGTCCCCTGTGTAGAAAGATGAAAGACACACTAAGACAGAAATGGTCTCCAAGGGAAATCACAGTTGTAATTGCAGGCAAAAGTTGTTGCTGTTTCTTCCAGCATTATTCAAATGGCCGTGTCTGCATGACTGCCTAAAGCAGGACCTGCCTTCGCTCATCTTGTTTTACCCAGACACAGCTCTCCAAAATGGTTATTTTATCTAATATACATATACTTATATGTAAATATGAGTGCTCTTAATTCCTGGCTGTCAGGACAAGTAGGAAATCTTCCCCTGACATTGCATGGGACTATACCATATACAATATAAATAATATATATATGTAAATAAAGAGTATGCCACAAACCAGCATCAGAATGCCATATCCAGGGGCAATTCATAAACATTGCAAAAGGATCAGTTAACTTCCAAAGAAATTAGACTAAGCTTTCACTTACAATGAAGTATAAAGTAGCAATGTAAAAAAATCTTAAAATGTACTGCCAAGGGAACACCAAGGTCCCTTAGGTGAGGCAAGGGATGACAGAAGAGAGCACCAACATTTCACAGGCTATTTAAGGATCCAACCTAACCTCAGTTGGAGTTGCAAGTTATGTATTTCAAAGCCTCATTTATGGGACCAGATCTGGTGCACCTTTTTAAGTCCCACACTTGTAAGCACCCTTTAAAATTTTTCAGTTTGACCTACTGAGAGCAAAAATGCTTAGTATTTATAAGGATTTCAACCCTGTGATTTATTGTGAAGCCTACAAATAACAGAACACTGGCCCTGTTTTTAGACAGCAATTAATCCACTCTGAAGATGATAGACAGAAAAAAATTTGCATATCTTCAGATAAGTATCTGGTCAAAAAGACTGTGATATTCTATTGAAAGTCTTCTGTAGAATCCTAGCAGGCTCTGGATCTGTCCCTTACATCCCTTCAGAAAACAGCAACACCACATTTTCAGCCCATAAGTAATGTATCCAAGCATGACTAAGTTTGACTCAGTGTTCACTCTAGAGACCACACCTCCAGCATCTGCACACTCTTGTACAGCACTTCAACTCCTACCTTTTAAGAAGAACAATGCAGTTTAAAGGACAGTACACTGGCATTTATATTTGTACCCAAGAATTAATCTGTATAAACAGCACATTGTGCATGCATTGTTGATTTCTAATATTCTTCCTGCTAACAAAATCTGAACATGCATGTAATGTTTAATATCTTCAGAGTCAAATTCTGGATGGCTTTCATATACTTTTTTTGTTTTCCAAAATAGTATTGCATCTCAGTCTGCATTTTTCCTGAATTCAGATCTGAAGCTCCTCTGTCATCAGAGCTGCAGAGAACAGATCTTGTAACATCAGACCCATGTCAGATTTCTGAGTTGTCCAAAAATATTATGCACTCTCTCCATAGTTCCTGTCTTCTGGCATTGAACTTTGTATGGTCCAGTGGCGTGCCAGCATCCAGACATAGAATACACAGAAGAAGCAATAGTTGCTTGATTTACCTAAAGCAGAGGGCAAACAAGCCCTAAATTAGCTTAGGAAGAAAAAAGGATTTTTGTTCCTGGAAATCATACAGTAATACTGTTTTCCAAAGTTTTACTCCTTATCCTTATAAAATATATGACATTTTGTCAACCATTATCCCAACATTCTAATAATCCACAAAATAGTTTTCACCTCATTTCATCAGACAATGTAGAAAACTATTTCAAATGGCTTATTCAAATTTATCATACAAAGAGAACGCTTTTTCTATCCTCAAAAGCTCTGTGATGCTATTGCCCCTTTCCTGAGATAGAATGCACAGTAAGCTCAGAGCTGCATAAGGCAAGGTGCCTTTTCAAATTCCTTTTTGAAGCTGGCTGATCACAGAGCTTGACTTCAATGTTGCCATCACTGAATGCCTCCCTCCTGGCTTCGTCTGAGTCAACAGGATCTCTCTGAGAAACGTTTGCTTGTTGCCGCCTCATAGTGATCCCCCAGTTCCCAAGTTGCCTGCTTGGAGATGTATTTTCTTTGACAATGCAGAAGCAGATGGCAGACAAAAAATTTTTCTTGAAGTTTTCATTCATGAAAGCATACACAATAGGGTTGCAAATAGAATTGAAGAATCCTGTGATCTGGACGATTGCAAAGATCATTTTGACTGTCACATCATCATATTCCTTTTCAAAATTACCTGGAAAGGAAAAAGGAAATATGCTGTATGCACAGGATGGCATAAATTCCTACTACTTATCTTATTTACATCCACCCTAGCATTGGAAGTTTTTGTTTAAAAAAAACAACAGAACACCTTACAGGAGGTTCTTAATATTAGCAATAAGGTTTCATCAGCAAGAAAAGATTAACATCTACCACACAGCCCTGCTTTGTGTATATGTAAATAAGGACAGAGTGATTCAGAAGAGGCAATTTTTTTTTTTCAGAAGAGCCAAAAAACTTGCCCAAGGGCCAAGAAACAGAAATGTTTGAGTCTGTTAAGTATAGGTATATTTATTCAAGTTGTTCTTCTGGCTCTGAGTTTCATGTCCATACCAAATGTCTAAGGACTTCAACACAATCCCTGTCATATCACTGACCACACACAGCTTCCTCCTCTGTGCTGCTCATGGAGGTAAAAATGCACCTTCTTGGTCACATCTCTCACTTTTTAATCATTGACATCATAGAGGACTCTGAATTCCTTTAATTCAATTTATCAGCAATCAAACTCTGGATAAATACTACAGAAGCTTATACAGCAAGTACAAAAAATGACTTGCAGGACCTGCAAAGAGAGCAAACAATTCATGGAGTGCTACAGGCAACCTCAACATGGGACAATCCAAACGATTTTAATAGCTACAGCTTCTGCAGTTCTGATTCTGTCCAGGCATAAGCATCATATGGTTCAACTGACTGCCTGCAGGACTACTGATTTATCTGCTACAACCTTTTTTGCAATAGCAGACCAAGGAACAGGCTGTTGGCTTTGGCAAGTAGAGTATAACAACCCCTGAAAGCTTTCTCCTGCTCCTACACATGGACTGCTGCCTAGTCCCATGTGCTGTCCCACTGCCCATGCAGGAGATGAGAGTTGAACAGTGGGAGACTGCAGAGAACAGGGCAAAAAGCAAAGTTAATATGCACTGAGGGCATTTTCCAGCTAGTACCCAGTTGAGATCACTGAAAAGTTCGTCTGGATTCACTGGGTATTATCACTATGATGTCCAGTATTTGTATTTCAAATATGCCTACCCTCATTAAAATCATGGCAAGTGAAGGTTACAATATTTCTTACTAGTTTAACTCAAAGCAGTATGGCAACTTAAGTGGATGCAAATAGAAATCTTCACATATTAAATTAAAATGAAATTTAAATTAAAAAGCTACTTGTTCAAGAGGTTTTATACTTGGAAATAACTTTTACCTTCCAGCCAGCTACTTTTGACCTTCAGCAAATGAGTTTAGCATGACAGACATAGAAAGAAAAAGAATCTACAGAGATATTCTCAGCATCCTAATAGTCATGTTTTTTCTTGAGCCTTTCTTGAGGCCTAGCAAACCTCCTCTTCAGGACTTGATTACTTGCTGAACAAATTCAGAAGCAATGATGAACTCCTTTCCCTTTCTAAAGAGCTACATTCTAAAAGAGCTGGTAGAAAAACTGGGTTCCCTCCCACTTACCCTGCAACAAAGTTCAGCAGGGTTTATAGCAAGACACAAATATTATCTTTTTTTTTTTTTTTTAATGTGGCTGACGAGTTTCTCAGATATACCATATCTCCCTAACACTACATTAAACACTCTTCTCAACCTAAATGATTCTATGATAACAGGTTATTTGAAACATACTAGTTTTCCATGAGGACTGCAGATTGGTCTGTCACTGAGACATGAGAATAATTCATCTGTTGTTGGCTATGTATCTGTATTACAAGACAGTGATCCAGGATTTATAAGCATATTCATCTTTGCTAGCAGAATGTATTCTGTAGTTGAATGCTGCAGCAGCACTAGCTTTTCATAACCTGTATTTCCATTAAAAACAAAAAAACCCAACCAAACAAAAAACACTTAGAAAGGCTTTACTGTATGACACAGGGCAGATACTCACTGTATTCTATCATCATATGAACCACATGGAAAGGGGCCCAACAGACTGCAAAGAGAAACACCACTGTCACCATCATAACAATTGCTCGCTTCTTCTTCCTGAAATTGCATCAAGACATTGAATCACTAAGAATAGACTGGTAGGTAGATACGTCTCTTCAAGTTAGATCTGCAAACATGTTTTGATGGTTGCAAGTGCAAATAAAACCCTGGACAAACACTTAGAAGCACACAATTCCCTTAAAACAAAAAGATACAGCATCATATAAATCTAGTACATAAATTAACACCTTTTATTTCTCTCATTTGGGAAAGCTACACACCTGCAGCTGCAGCAAGCAATGACACTGGTAAATCTTGCAAGACATTTTTACTCTACTTAAGTAGATGCAATTCCAATAGTAGGAGATGGGGCGGAAAAAAAACCATACAAAATTCCACTAATAGCTCAAAAAGCAGGAGTCATTTCCTAGATCTAGAAGCACCGACCATATGAGCAGCACCTGCCTACACAGAGAATTTGACAAAGTGAAACTACACCTGCAACATTCAACCTTTGCTGGTAGATGAAGTGCTAGAATAAGATTTAAAAAAACACATTTCTTGCCTCCACTGCAATACCTCACAAACTCAAGTTATACATTAACTTATCATCATCCCCAAATTGATACATAATTTATATAACTGCATTTATAGATCACCAGATAGACCTCTTCCTTGAGCTAAAGCAGCAGTACTTCACTGGTAGCAGTTACAGGATCTTCTCCTCCCTGTGAGAAAATAGACTAAGGAGTAGCCCAAAGATTACATGTCACCTGAACCTCTGTAAGGTTGCACCCTCTTTCAGTTTTTACTGACAAGAGTTCGCTTCCTTAGGCACTGTGTTAGACAAATATCTAAGGATTCATTTATCTTCAAGCTGCTCGTGCTCTCCTTGAAGTTAATACTTAAGGTGATACTCTCATCAATGAGCAGAACTGTTAGAGGTTTCTAGGATGAGACAACAGATCGATTTGCCAAATAAAACAAAAAAACCAAACATGAGGCAATATTAAGGGTAGTCCATATTTAGTGCTAAAGATCAAAGTTTATAATTATTGATTTTTATAACTTTTCAGATTGAGCATCACCATCTGTATAATCTCAAACACAAATCTGAGAACACTCAAAATTCTTTAGAAGCTCTACCAGGTTAAATGGCATCAAAGCAGTTTTTTTAATTAATTTTTATTTTTTTCCCCATACGCCAATTTAACTTATTATAGGACACAGCATTGTTCATAGTCTTGGAGTTATAGAACTCTCCAGAGAACACACAGAAACAGTGTAGCACCATTTACGCCTATCATCTTCTAACTCACGGCCTACATCTTTTAAAAACAAGCATTTCACAATGTATGAGAGATTTATTGAAAGGGCTTGACTTTCAAGGTGTAGCTACACTATGCTGTGAATAAAGAAAAAAAAATCTAAGTTGCCTTAAATTGGGTATCTAAGTGTTAAATAACTGGCTAGCTTTAAAAATCTGGTGTATGCTTGCAGACTTCCCAACAGATAAGGAAACACAGATCTCTTTTTTGATTTTTTTTGGTAGTGTTTTTCAGTAGCTGTCACGGGGAAAAAAAACAAAACAACAAACTTTCTAGAAGCCAAAGTTTCCAACTTTTTTTCCAAAGTTCCAAGTTTACAAACCTTGATATTTTAGACATTTCACTCCCATGAATGGTTTGAAGAACTGAAGCATCTCCCACTCGTTTCTTAATCCAGAGCTCATAGCCAATTTTAGTGTACAAAAAAAGCATCAACATCAGTGGAAGAAGGAAGAGTATAACAAGAATAAAGGTCGTATAGATCTTCTGATAAATCGGACTGGTCCATTCTTCTAAGCAACAAACATACACTTTTTCATACAGAAAGTCATATTTTACCTGTAACAAGTATAAAGGAGATGAGTCACTACAGTGTTTACCCTCAAGTATTCCTTGCTTTCAATACAACCAAAAATCAACAGAGTGATTCTTGTAAAATTCTTGTAAACATTTCCACATCAATTGTTCAGCTGATACATACTTTTCAAGTAAAGGTGAGTGATTAGAAACCTCACCTATTAGTCACCTAAAAATAAATAAATAAATAAAATTTGTTAACTTTCAGGCTCACATGCAGCAGATTCTGATAAGACTTTTTTTTAACTTCAAAAGTATAAGGTAATTCAAACTATAACGGATAGCTAATTACATTTTAAACTAGGCACAGTTCTTCCTAAATCTCAGGGAACACCACTCCATCCTGAAACTGTAATCTAAGCCCTACACTGTTGTGTGCCCAGTGCACCTATAAAGGAAAAGGAGATCACAGTGGAAGTCACAGATATAATCACTGCTTCTTGACATAACTGGGGAGGGTAGACATGACTAGTCCCTGCTGATAGTCCCTCTTCCAGTGCATGCAAGTCCTAATCTTTAGCTTTTTTCATGCTGGCACACAGAACAAAAACTCCAGTTCTCATATTCCACTCTCACTTCTTAGGACTTTACTGAGTTTCCCTGCAAAAGGTACAAAAAGATCCAGTGAGGACTGAGTTTAAAATGTAAAGTCCCATTTCACCTAACATACCTCGAGCCGTTGTACGTGCCACATTGGTGACCCAACAATAAGAGCCAGCAACCAGACTATGCCTGTAAACAAATACATTTTTAATATTTTATACAGTAGGCAGTAAAAGTTTCAGTTTAAACAGTCAAACAGCTCCATCTTCAAAAAGTCAGGCAAAGCAGACAATATAAATAAAGAACAAAGTTTTCTATACAAGCCATACAACAGTCAACATTCACATCAATAACAGCACACTGTTTTATTATCTGTTTTCTTTCACTCAAAGTACTTTCATTTATTGGCACCCAAATGTAATGGCAACTTAATTTGTGTAAGCACTATTATGTGCATTTTCCGTGTTACAATGGAAGTATAATTTACAGCTTGTAATATGGCTTTAGCAGTACTTGTACATTCTGAATCTTTCATAAAAATAAAAATTAAAAAAAGCTGTCAAAGGTTTATCAGTTTTAGCTATAAACTTCTTTCAGTTTATCTTATACTTTGCTAAAGTAAAATAAATCTTTGATTTTAGATTCCAAATATATTGTCAGGGCTTTAGCTAGTAATCATTATATATATAGGCACTATCCTTGAGCTATTTTATAAATATTACCAGATGTATCATTAACTCTACCTGTGAATCACTGGACATATGCCTTCTGTCACACCATCTATACCGCTTAGATTGAAGATTATATCTCTATACACACAATTACTAGAGATGCCTAAAACCTTACCAAGCATGGTGAAAGCTCTTTTATTAGTGTACTGCCACTTCATTTTTAGTGGATGCACAATTCCCTGGTGTCTTTCCACAGCAATGCAGGTCATTGTAAGAATCTCAGTTACAATGGCAGTGGACTGAACAAATGGTACCATCTTGCAAGCGAAGGCACCTGCAATAGTCAGAAAGGATAATATGCAGTTGTTGCAGTTCATAAAACAGCTCTTCACACCAGACACTTCACTGAAGAGTTATTCTGCAAGAACAGACTAATACTCTTCAATTTATTTTAATGCCTAAACTGCTAAGTCACCTACTTAGGCTCTTCATCAAATGCACTTTTAATACTCATTCTTCTATCATACACACTACATCTGCAAAATTAAAAATTCTAAGAACCTATCCACTTGCTCTGTATCAGTCTGACACTTATTGCTGTTTCACTTTCAACCAAGTCTTCCCATTATCTGCTTTAAACTATGCCAAATTACAGATACATTTATTATCTTTTCATCTTGGCAGACTACTCGCCAGTTTTATGAAGATCCTAGTGTTACCTACACAAAAGTTTACCTTTTCTGCTGTTGCAAATACATTCCTTCTTCTCATTTAAATACCATTCTGTTGTACACTTTGGCACTTAATGGATCATTCTGCCAAGCAATACATATATAGGAGTCCTCTAAGAGGCATTCACGTAAGAGGAAAAATCCAACCTCTTCACCATCCATCCATTATCCAAGTCTCCCTCTTTTCTAATGAACACGTGATGTTAATGGCACTGTTTTCTATGTCTGCATTCTTCAAGTTCAGTATCAACTATTCATTTCAGTAACAGCTGAGTTATCTCCCTTACTTGACCATTAATTATACTTTACCCAGATATAAGCCATAAACTTAAAATATCCGAAGGAATATCTGATCCAATTGCATGTTAAGCTTTAAGGTGTTACAGACACCTCAAGAAATAAAAGCATAGAAAACAGAAAGAAAACAAACATGAAAATATCGAACTTAATCCTGCTCTCCATGAAGGGAACAAGGAATGGGGAAACTTCTGAACTTCCATCTGCTAGGCTGGGCTAAAAGTCCCTGCAGCTTACAAGAAGGAACTGGTTTGCTACTAGTCTTTATCAATTCTGGGTGCCCAAAGCAAAATAATAATAAAAAAAAAAACAACAACTTTTTCTGTGGCTCCAGAAAGGGAAGAGGAAGGCAAGGGGCATGGAAATCAGGTCCCTCTAGAGTACATATTAAACATCAGTAACACCATGAATGTGCATACAAATCTGCCTTAAAACAGAATAAAAATACATCTTGCAGCCCAATTTCAGACTACTGGAATGAAATGTCAGCATGGTCAGTAGGAACTGCATAGAAGAAAATGCAGTGGGCTGTGAGTCTGTTTCTCACCTCATATGTATTTTTTCCAAAGTGTTAGAAAAAGCAAGACAAGACATCTTGACATATTTTATGAACTGCAATTATACAATAAAATTCCCCCCACTTCTTCCTTGGCTTCAGTAAGCATAAAGTAAAACCTTCCCTTATGAAACACAATCAGTCAGTACCTTATTAATTCTGCACCTCATCAGCTTCTCACTATACCCAGTACAGTATGTGCTGCAGCACCAGACACGCTCCATCAAATTTATAGCAATTCAACCAGTACGCTGAAATTTCTGTAGTGAGATAACAAACAGCAAGCTCAGATTGTACCTTCTTTGCACATAGCAAACCAAAGAAGATGCTAAGGCACACAATCTCTGGCCACTTCTGACAGTTTACTGCCATGAGTAAAACAGAGCTAAAACAGTATTTAGCCAAACCCAATCCTACTCCTTGGAACCAAGAAGAGTTTTCACTATTGGTTTCAAGCTTTTTCTTCACTGACTTAGTAAGTTAGGAGTGACTTCTGTTAAAATCAACAGAAAAGCAAAATTTGTACATGAAAGAAATGTGTAAGTTCCCCTTTCATTAAAGAAATAAATTCAAGTTTGAGTGGTGGAGCTGTGAAAAAAAAACATATGAACAAACCGCCTTCCACCATATGCTGTCTCCTCTAGTTTGAAAGAAGTCAGAGGTAAACAAAAGTTAAGCCCATCTGAACTGTATGCCATTATAGGGGTTTGCCCGTAATTTTCCCTAAAGTCCCAGCATTCCAGGGTATTCTTCAGAAGCAAAGAAATACCATTCTATTATTCTACTTTAGTAACAAAATGAGACAACTTTCACTGAGGTTATCCAAGTCTGGTGGAATTTCCAGTTTGTGCCCAAATATTCAAAGAGCAAACAGAATACCTGAGTTCATGGGCTAGAAACTCCTGAATTCAAGATTGACTTTGTCTTCTACTGGTATATTCTCTTTTACTTCCCAATAATTACAGCATCAAAGAGCACACACCACCACTGTGCCTTTAGCTGAACCCTCAGGAGAAAAGGCTGCAGAATCTCCTTATTTAATCTCTTTGAATACAAACACAGAAAAAGTGATCACCTAAACTATATAAAGGCAATTATTTACAAGGTAGTAAGAGTCATCATGACTGATCCTACTGAGTTGAATGAGGAGTGATATTAGCACTTTCAGAAATATGAAATAAAAAGATATGATTCATCAGACACATTTGGCTGAAATAGAAACACATGCTCTGAGGCACATGGCACATTTTGGCTGCTTGGTGGACTTGTTGGCCAATGCATTTTTATAACTCAAAAATTACATTAAATTTTTTAAAGGACAGTAGTTAAAAGCTTCCATATCTCAATACTAAAAACAGAACAGTATTTCCACCTCTGAACCTTCTCATGGCATGAAGCCCAGGGTCTCCATCAACTTGTATTAACATTACCACATCACTTTAGTGGTCTTTTCCTTGCCCTGACGTGTCAAGCACTATAAAAACACTTTATTCCGATACCATGAAACACTTGTGTTTCAAATGCTGAACTTCACCATGGTTAAGTGACTGTTTAGCAAGGAAGTCCAATCTTGTTTGCAGGAGTGTTTGGAACAGATATGTCTGGGGGAAAAAAAAAGAAAGACTGTGTTTAGAATGTCATGGCCAAATGAAAAGTCGTCAACTGCAATGGAAATCTGACATACACAGATCTGAGATCCAACCACTATCCTTAAGGTATTTGAATGGGATTCAGTCCTGAAATACCAGGGGTCATTGTATTGACAGAATATGTAATGTTTTCCATGTAAAGCCTGTTCTTAGTTTTCAAAATTTCATTATTTATAAGTATATATGATCCATTCCAAACTGCTTAGATAACTACCAAAGACTTTATCAAAATTCTTTTAAGACTATATGTCACATAGCCTATGTTTTCAAAATACAGACACTACCAGCTTTTGTATACATAGAAAATGAGAATAATTTATTGTTAAATAAAGTAACTATTTCAGAATGGCAGCAGTTGGGTTGGGGCAGGACAGAGGAAAAGGAAAAAGACAATCTAAATTGCTTCTCTTTTTCAATAAGAGATTCCCAGAAGATTCCTTACACACTGCTAAAAACTGCATATATTATTCAAGCAATGCTTCATGTCTTCATTATCAGATGTTGTGCCTGAAACTATGATTTAGTCACTTCATCACTCATTTAAAAGATCTGTTTTTCTTTTATTAGGGTAAGGAAAAATCCTGAAACCATTCTCTGATAAAGTTAAAATTGCTCCTTCCTCTGTCACAGTGTTGCTGACCAACCCTTGCACTGGAATCTCAGAGCTTGTAAATCAGTTCTGTCCAGCTCACTTGATGCAAGCAAGTTTTCTTACATTTTGTAACTTCAGGGCAAAAAACATGGCAGTTATGATCCTACAGATATCCTCAAGGGTCTTTCATTCTTGGAAAATGCATTGGTTTATATAAATTCTTGGGTATATAGGCATTTTGCACCATTAGTAAATTTCCATCCACGATGCACAAGTCTCTCACTTTTTACTTATAAAGAACTTTATACATGTCTACCCAGAAGCAGGCATGAGTGTAGCACTCGATAGTAGACCTGCGGTAGTTTGTCTGTTTATGGTCAACTACAGCAGCTGAGATAAAATGGTATGGCATGAACCTATGCAATTAAATCATGCCAACCAAGGTATTCCACACTGTTCACCCTCCTTCCCCCTTCCATCCAAGGCTCACATGCAGCTTCTCTGCCCATGGATTTACAAAGCCACTGAAATGGGCACCACAGTCTTCAGGAAAACTTGGATCAGCAGCTTATTTCAAAATGTGGCAACTGGTGAGTAAAACCAAAGACAAACATGCGGAGCTGCAGGATAACTGTGCAGCAAAGCACTGCTATTACAACATAAAGCTACTGCAGTAAACCACTGCCTGCAATTGCACTACAAACAAGTAGTACAGGTGGGGGATTTTTTGGCAAGAATACAGGTTAAAGATCCAGATCTTTTCCCAAGAGAGAAACTCACTACCAGGGAGCAAAACAGGAAATGGCAAACATATTCCCAATTCATTCAATGCAAGGCAGAGAATGCCAGGTATTTCAACCAAAAAAAAAGGACATCATAACCACCTCAACATGAAACACTAACCAATCTATCCACATCCTAAAACTTGCTTTATTTCTTTGCTTGATCAATGCAACAGCAAATATTTCACATCAGTCATTGTGTTTAATAGTTACACTAATTAATGTTATGCACTTACTTGCAGTAAGAAATTCCCTATGCTGAATGTGAGTAGAAGAAGTTTCCTTTTGTCAGTGCTGTTTTGCTGCTCTTAGACAAAACACCCTGCCAATATATCATGCATATATAAAAAAATAAGCCTATTACTTCCTTTACTGAGAGATTCACTGTATGATGCAAACCATCTTCATACAGAATTTTACTCCTGCCTCTACTCATAAGCAAATACTCCAAAATACACAGTAGCAGGGCATGGAGAATTAAAGATCAGGCAAGATTTCACCCATAAAGATAGAACTACAAAATCACTGTGCTTTAAATGGCATCAGATCAATCCTGAAACATAATTCCCCACTGGGGATGGCAAACAGAGACAAGTCCCTCACCTGACTTACAGAAAGTCTGGACAACTTACATCAGTTAAAAAAAAAAAAAAAAAAAAAAAAGTTAAAACCAGGAGATTCAAATAACTGAATCTCTTGCATCCAGCTTTACTGTCTAGTTTGAGAG